CGAGCACACACACACACACGCACACACAGAAGCCCCCAACGAAATTCCCTCGGATTTTGGGGAAGGAAGGCGACAATCAAAACAAAGTGTGCAAAATGTGGTATAAGCGTATAGGCGATATAAAATATCTAAAAATACAAGCACACATTTTATACACACACACATATGTACCTTTGAAATATAGCCGTATATATCGTATAAGCATACCATGAACGTGTATTGTTAATGGGCCGCCACATCACGATCCGATGGTGTGGCAGGCCGACACCTCGCATGCCCAAACATTCACATTCATATGTCGATGGCCTGTCCGTTTAAATTATGTGCTTGGTTTAGGGAGGCGGCCGATGTATGTACAATAGTTAGCAGAGATCGCTCCCGCAAACGATATGCCGCCATTCCATTCGCGAAAGTAAAAACTTGATTGAAATATGGTCTCGAAATAAGCAGAAGAATGAATGCTCTTCGAATGGTATCAGTTTTTGGGACGAATGTGTCCGTTCACTTATGGGACATTTGTAGAGCAAATCAACTTCATTTGCTAGAAGAACATGGTTATAGTAGTACTTGTGATTGTACTTAAATTATTTTAAATAAACAAAGGAAATTTCTTTACGGCAAGTAACTGATGCATCAGTAATCATATTTTAAATTGCTTTAATTGGATGTCCTCACTGTTCAAGACACGATCTTCCAGAGAAATCATTTAGCGGATGAGAAGCGCATAGAGTGGCACTCAGAGTGGTTCAAAGAACTCTGTGGATGAGAATGGTTCTACGAAATCCGTCAGCTTGGGACTTATCTAATCTGTGTAAAGGGCTGTTACAATTTCCCTATCAGCTGTGGAGCTCTGGTGCTGTGTTGCCAGGCAGAGACAGACATGCATGGTTTATTCCTCATAAATAGGAAAATCCAGGAAAACCAGCAATTAAATGAATATAGAATTGTTCACCAGTAAAACCGTATATTAGTTCAAGTGATTTGTTTTGTGTCTGGCTGAGACTTTACGATCCTTGTGGATGGCATGATTGGCGATTTTTAAAAATCAGTCCACAATCAAATCTTAATTTGAGGGGCATTTATATATGTATTAATAATTATTAAAAGCCCCCCAATTTATGATCGATCCTTCAGGTGAATGGGGTTTCTTTTTGCGTGTCGATTTCCAATGCCAAGTCATTATATGATCGCCTATTATTTAGCGTTTATAAGGTATATAAATACTTGACTTTATTTAATTGTTTGATTATTTATGGATTGTGACACCTTATTTTTTGCCTTTAAGGCGAAAACCGAAAGAACCCAAAGGCCGGTTTCCCTATCGATAGAGTGTGACCGACCTACAGAGAGCGACCCACAGAGAGAGAGAGAGGGAGAGTGAGAGTGGGTGATTGAGAGAACAGTTGGGAGAGCAGCAACAATTTGAATAGACGTTCCTCCATATTCATAGCCACAGCTCTCCGTAGATAAGTCTTGAGAGACGTCAGACACAGAGCGTCCATAAATATTTATTTAACATTTTTTTTTCATACAATATTTTTTGCACTGCCTGTGGGGGTGCTTCCTCTTCTCCGTCTGGGGCGTTGGAAATGTTTTCGGCTTTCGCGCTGGGCGGGCGATTTAGTTCCCTGCGGATCGCGGAACTATTTAGTCGCAGTCGACGAGGAGAAGCGACTAGCCAACAGAATAATAACAGAAATAATACTAGCAGAATATTTCGATTTTCGATTTTCGATTGACCAAGTAAGCGTCGCCTGAAATAAATATCACAATTCGACACAGTCGTACTCGTATTTGCCACACATCACTACAGTAAACAATGTACAAATTTGTAAACTAAACTCCACTCTCGATTTTCCGAACAGAATTCACAACGTAGACTCTCGGTGGACAGGTCGAGCCGGTGCCCGGCGAACAATGTAAGAGAGACCATCGCGCGTGAAGAGACCAAGAGGAGCGGGAGCCTGCATGTCCCAAACCAAACCGAGGAGCGGATCGCAACACAGAACACAGAATCACACACACATTATCGAACTTTAACTTTTGGAATCCATTGAAAATTATCCCACACGGATCGCGGCGAACATGGCTCACTACAGCGCACATCAGCAGGCAGCGGCCGGTGCAGTGCCCGCTCACTTCAAAGATCTCTTCACCAGCGGGCGGCTCGGCTCCGCGGAGCAGGACAACGGCAATAGCCGCAACAACAACAACGGGAGGGACGACAACAATGAGCAGGAGAACCGCCTGAACAATGCCAACAACAATGGGCAGTCGGAAGCCGAGTGCTGGGTCTTTGGATACGGCTCCCTCTGCTGGCATCCGGGCTTCACCTTCAGCAAGTGCATCACGGGCTACGTCCGGGGATTCGTGCGCCGCTTCTGGCAGGGCAACGCCACACATCGCGGCACAGAGGAAAAGGTGAGTCCCAGCCCTGGCATGGGTCTGAATCTATTAGCTATTTATTTACACTTGTCTGGCTGCCACTGAAGCAATCTAAATACTATTATACTATATTATACTATTACGGCTATTATTTGCTAAATGTGCCGCTCAAACACATACGGCTTTCGTTATCTATTTGTCGCGTGTTATCAGCCTTTGTCGGGTCTGGGCCTGGGCCTGGGGCTGGGGCTTTGGCTAATGGCAAACAAACAAGTGAAATTAACATATGCCAGCCAGATAGTCAGATAGACAGCCAGCCATCAATGCTGTAGTACCCAGTACGAGTATGCCCATAGCGAAGCGATTCCCCATTAATATTGGATCGGATACTCCATTAGCATAACTAATTCGCTTGCCCAACATGTCGCGGGGCGGGACAAGCCCCTTGCAATGGAGACATCTACAAATGGGAGGGGAGGTGAAACACGTTTCGGTTTGAACATGTTTTTTTTAGATGATATTTAAGGCAGCATTCCTGTATACTTTTCGAGAAAATTGAGTTACACTTCACGGTACGGTAAGGAATGTAGAATAGAATTAGTAAATCTGGGAATGTGTTTGTTATTCAGCCCAGATGTGCTTCTATCAGTTTTAGCTCTCCCTCTTCAACACTTTATGCAATAGTTAATAGGAAAATATAGCAGGGTTTATATAGCAACGACAAATAGAATATGTTTACCAGCAATCTGGGTCACTCCTATGACAAAGACTCCAAGGGGGAAAATGAGTCAAGGTCCGCCTTTTATATAATATATAGAAAAAGAAATCAGATCGTGCAGACGTGCAGGGAACCTTTGTGTGGGCGATAATAGCAATCCATATACATACATACCATAAGAAAAGACGTATAAAATGCATTTTATTTTATGATGACGAATAATACTGACATATACATTATTTTCCTCCTCTCTTTGTGTTTTGCAGCCTGGGCGTGTAGCGACCCTGATGAAGGACAAAGAGGTAAGTAAACTCGAATGTAAAACTCATAAATTACTGCAAAAAGTGTGTGCGCGCCGGCCCGAATTTCTCAATGTAAGCCCCATTCTGTGTAGGCGACAAACCCCAGCGTAGACGCATGGTGAATGCCAACCAACTCGTCCATATCTTAGGTGAGACTCTGGCAGATTTCCGCAGACAACCGAGCGTAACAATTCGAGATCCTTGCGGATCCCTCTTCATCATATGCAAGGCGCAGTTCCGCGGAATATAGGCGAATGTGCGCCTTTCTCTAGAGAGGCAGGCAAGAACACATGCAATTTTACACCTTGATACTTTCTATCCTAGGCCCGGGGACTTTACCCAGGGCATTGATCGAGAGAGTTACCAGGAACTCGTTTGTGACCCCGAGAGACAAGCATGAAAAACTCAAACCGGCTCATAGAACTACGAAAAGAGCGGTATATAAACGCGAGAACTGACGGAAAAAGACTTGGGAATTATAAGCAGATTAGGAAATCTACGAAAAGTAGCTCGGGTTCAAATCACGCGCGGGACGAAGAAGAAACAAATATTTTTAGATTACTTTTAAATGTGATCTCTTTTTAAGTATTCTTTTCATTTCCGTTGCAGGGTATTACATGGGGCTGTGCTTACAGAGTATCGGGCAATACGGCCCTCGAGTATCTCAAGCAGCGTGAATGCACCCTAGGTATGTGACAATCAGAACTCTCATACCCGCTGTCTAACTAACTAATGACTAACCATGACTCCAATCCCTTACAGGTGGCTATGCAACACTCGAGGCTAAGTTCTTCCCCCGCGTCGCCTCCCAAGACGCACCCTTCAGTGGCGAGGCCGTCGAGGTGCTGGTCTATGTGGCCACGCCGGAGAACCAGCATTGGCTGGGCGAAGCGCCGCTTTCGGAAATCGCTCACCAGATCGCCACCAGTAGAGGTCCGAGCGGCCACAACGCCGAGTACCTGCTGCGACTGGCGATGTTCATGCACGAGGAGATACCCGGCGTGCGGGATGAGCATTTGTTCGAGCTGGAGCGTCTGGTGCTGGACGAACTGTACCGCCAAGAAATACCTATGTCGTCTGTGATGGGCCGCAATCCAGATAGGATACGTCGCGACTCCCACGAGGACATTCGCCGCCAGCCCTCGTTCGAGTTCACGTCCCGCGTGCCAGAGACAAAACTCCGCTGCCTGAACATTTGATTGCGGGCACAGTGGCGGGTGGCGGTGGGTGTCGCCGCGCCCACGCCCACGCCCGCCAGGCAGCAGCAAGTGATATGCACGCGGCGGCGATTATTGCTGTAGAAGATTCCAAATTGATTATCGACATTTAGCACCCTAGGAAACCAGAGTCTACCACTAAATTCGCTGTATTCTTACAACTGTAAATAACCCATACGGATAAGCACTAGCCTTAAGCAACAACTCCGCGATAAGTGATCTGATCTGAAAACTAAGCGTTGGCTTAGTCTAGTCCATAAGTTCTGTCCTCAACGCACAAAAGCTAACATTTTTACACGCGAAACTTTCAGGGAGATATAAAAGAATGAAACAATAGTCCGAAAGTGAATAAAACCAAAAAGAAAATAACACAAATAATGACTTTAGATGGGTTTTAATTAAATACAAAGGCATTTACGCAAATGGAAATCAAGATCAAACTTAAGCCTAGTTGGTGAGAATTTCAGCTGCACGGTTCTCCATTAGCTTCTCCATGCTCGTGATCGATCCCATCCAGGAGTCCAGGGTGCTGGCCATGCCGGCGATCTGGTTGCGGTTCAGGACGCGGGGTTGCACCCACGACATGTTTACGACGCCAGCCACCTGATCGATCTCGCCGCGCACCAGATCCAGGGCCAGGGCTTTCATGATCAGCAGCTCCACTTCCTTGGCCGGCAGTTTGGTCTCATGGGCAATGTCCGTAAAGGAAATGGCTCGCTGAATGGCCGATCGCTTGAATGTCATCTCCATCAGACAGAGCAGAGAGATCTTCTGGCGCAGCTTGACCTCCTGGGCAGCCAGATCGGGAATCTTTGACCAGATCTTCTTCATGTCATTGAATCTGTGGAGTACAACGATTAGCTACTAGCCCACGGCTATGATATGGTTCTACGTACTTGTTGATATCGCCGGTGTTAAATGCCTTGAGCAGGTCCACCAGCCACACGTTGTCAGTGCCCTGCAGCGACTCCAAAATGGGATGCGCCAGCAGCTCGCCAATGTTATAGACGCCATCGCCGAGCAGGGCAGCCAGTCCCAGGAAGAATGCCTGCTGTGCCCATTGGTCGCGTGGGTAGTCGTCGAGCGAGCAGCCCAAGAACTGCAGGCCGCATCGGTAGTAGTCGCTGTGCTTGCCCACACGGCGATAGTACTGCGAGGCGAGCATGTAGTATTTGCCGTGAACGGGCGTCACGAAGCCGGCCTCCTCCAGGACATCGCGCAGCTCCTCGATGATCTTCTTGGTGGAGTTCAGGTCGTTCAGATTTGTGAGATAGAGGTTGCCCTGCATGACCTGCAGGTACCACACAGCCTCATCGCAGATCTTGACTTTGTCCTTAATTTTCTCGAGGAATTCGATGGCCTCTGCTTTGTCGCTAATGTTGTCCACGACTACTTCGAGAATTTGGATCAGACCATACGGGTTTATTCTGTAAATCAATCAAGATATATGTGAATCTACAATTGTGCCAAGTCATGGGGGGACTCACTTTGTTTCAAAGGTGGAAAGGAAGTTCTGGTAGAGCTGCAGCAGCGCCGACTCGTCCTGCAGCGATTCATGGCGCACGAATGTCACCAGCTTGATGGTCAGCTCGTTCCACAACCTGTACAAATTCGCAAATTATATCAAAACTCTTGGGCCCATTAGTTTATGCTTACTTCTCGTTATGCAGCTCCTCGATGAGCGTCCACTCGGCAGCAAGATCTTTGTTTGTAGTCTTCTTTTGCAAAGCCAAGTAAGCGGTGACGGTCGCCTGTGTGTTGGACATTTTCGTTGCTTTTATTCCGGAGCTTTATCAAATAAAATATATTTTTTTTATTTCCAAGCTACAAAAATTGCAAATCACAATCGCCGACGCAGCTGTCAAATTTGACATTGCGTTAACAGCACCATTAGTGTTGCGCCTAACAGTCTCCCAGCGTTGCGTTAACAGCACAATCTGTTTTGCGCCTAACAGTCTCACAGCGTTGCTTTAACAGCTTATTGCTTTCTTTCGTTTTGTTTTTTTTAGATTTTTCAGCAAATAAAGATTACCTTAGAGTAAAGCATTGTTAATTTAAAATTAAAATGCTTCGATTTTGGGGCATAGGATACCATATTACCATTTAATTGTTGTTAAAATTAAACAACATTGCAGTAGATCGGGTTGACAGCAGCTGTAAAATCACTGCTGAAATACCTCTACTGACAGCTGTTTTTCGTTTATACAAATTTTCTCGCGCAAAAATTTGCAACAATTTTCGCACCGAGTAGATTAGCCTATGTTTGTGCGACCATGAACGAAATTAAGGAAGTGGTTGTTGTTGTTAAATGGAGCGGCAAGGAGTACCCGGTAGACCTGACCGACCAGGACACTGTCGAAGTGCTGCGTCATGAGATCTTCCGCAAGACACAGGTGCGCCCGGAGCGCCAAAAACTATTAAATCTGAAGTACAAAGGTAATTGCCATGTACGACTCCAAAAACCTTCGTCTACAATCTGATCTTGCAGGAAAAACCGCTGCGGACAATGTAAAGATAGGTGCCCTGGAGCTGAAGTCGAATTTCAAGCTGATGATGGTCGGCTCGAAAGAGGCGGACATTGAGGATGCTTGTCGCTTGCCCGAGGATGTGGGTGAAGTGGTGGATGACTTCGATGACGCCGAGGAGCGCGAAGAGTCCGTGGAAAACTCGGCAGTGTATCTGGCCAAGGTGCAGCGTCGCGTCCGCGACTACAAGATAAATGAGCTGTCGCCGCCTCGCGAGGGCAAGAAATTGCTCGTCCTGGACATAGACTATACGCTCTTCGATCACCGCTCGCCCGCAGAGACAGGCTCAGAACTGATGCGCCCGTACTTGCACACGTTTCTCGAATCCGCCTATGTGGATTACGATATAGTGATCTGGTCGGCCACCAGCATGCGCTGGATTGAGGAGAAGATGCGTCTGCTGGGAGTGACCAACAATGACAGCTACAAAATTATGTTCTACCTCGACTCGAATGCGATGATCTCAGTGCACGTTCAGGAACGCGGTGTTGTGGACGTTAAGCCCCTGGGCGTCATCTGGGCCCTCTACAAGCAGTATAACTCCAGCAACACCATTATGTTCGACGACATTCGCCGCAACTTCCTAATGAATCCCAAGTCCGGCCTCAAGATACGCCCCTTCCGGCAGGCTCACCTCAATCGCGCCACGGACACGGAGCTACTGAAGCTCGCGGAATACTTGCGCAAGATAGCCCTTCACTGCAAGGACTTCAATTCGCTGAACCATCGCAAGTGGGAGAGCTACCATCCCAAAAAGAACTCCTGAACAGCCAGCCGCCTGAACATTTGTCTCAGTGTTCCGCTTCGATTGTATGTAAGATTCGCATTAGTTTATTAAATTAAGATGCATTTTGTACGCGTCCCAGACAATTATAGTGTGTATCCGCCCTGGTCCGCCCAGTGCACGCGTCTAGCCTCTAGGTACTCCTCGTGCAGTCGCCGCCGCTCCTCCTCCAGCTTGGCCAGGCGTCTGTACCGCTGCAGCACCATGCCGCAGCCAAAGAGCATAGCCACCTGGCAGATGAGCCAGAAAATGAACAGCGCAATCAGCAGGCTCTGGTTCATGCACACGTTATCGAGATGCAGCTGGTCGTCGATGCCAGCAATCAGCAGCACGCCCCGCTCTCCATACATGTAACTGTTGGCGTTGGTCTGGTCCGGACCGTGAACGCGAAGATTGTAGTTAAGCGGCAGCTCCATCTGCGCACTCGCGTTGCCCATGGGAGGAGTAGTCGTTGGTGTTGTCGTGTTGGTGGGCAAATCCGGCAGGACATCCACAACTGTCGAGATGTACACGGGATTCTGCACTCTCCGCTGCTCTAGCTGCCGCTCCGGCTGCTCCACCTGGCGCCTGTGACGATGCCAGGTGTCACTGCTGTGGCCCACACAGTTGCTAGGGGAGCACCTGTCCACGCAGAACCGGATCTTCACATCGAAATTGACGTTGGCGGTGCCGGAGAACTTGAACGCATGGAAGCGGGCTCGCAGCATACTCCTGGAGTGTGTGCGAACGCGCTCCAGGGCCGGAAAGACACTGGCATCGGTGGGACAGCCGCGCTCGTCGATTAGCAGCACGTAGTTCTCGTTATCCTGCGTTTTGGCCACCAGCGAGGTCGCTCGGAAATCCGGCAGTGGGGCCAGCTGCAGCTCCAGATGCTCTGCCAACTGATGCGGGCTGTATTCAGCCACGATTTGGAGCTCCAGATTCTGGCCAATTTGCACGTCATTCGTTTCGTGCTGGTGCGAGAGGTCGACTATCTGGAGCGTGATCTTGGGATGCGGCTGGGGTCCAGTGGTGCTGTTGTAGTGTACCACTCCCTCGTGGGGAAACATGCTGCGAGAATAGAGGCATTAAGAAAACAGTTTTCTGTAGACATATGGCGTCGCTTACTGCTCGGCATATTCCACCGAGGACTCCAGAGCAATGGCACTGGGTACGTGCTCCGAGGCGTCCACACTGCTGTCCCGCACAGACACGCCCAGCGAGGCGGTGGCGTTGCTCTGGATGCAGCCGACTTTGATGAGTCGGTCTCCTTGGGTCTGTACATTCGGATTGTTCTGTATGACCACCAAGGCGGAGACAAATGTTCTAGAAAGAGTACAGTTCTTGGATAGAGGAAATACACCTATGTAGAAATGAGAGGTTTACCTCTGGTATGCCTGCGTCATTTCATAGGCCCGCAGGATACCGCATCGGTTCTCCTTGACCTCGCTGCCAATTCGTAGCGTCAAGAGGACACTGTCGTTGCCCGTTCCGCGTGCCAGGCAGTCCTTCGAGTGCATGCTGGCATAGATCTTGCCGGCAAACCAGTCCTTTGGGTTGTACCTGATGCTCATCTCCTCCCTCGTGCAGAAGACTTGGACTTTTTGGTAGCAGAAAATGTGTACATATTCTTGAGTAAGTATTGGATTGGCTATATACATATGTACTCACCATTCAGGCACTTAACCCGTCGCATATAGACTGAGTTATCGCGAAGCTTCAGGCTGCGCGGACCCAGCGAAACAATGTCCTCCGAGTGTAGGAGGCACTCGGAGAGGATGAGCTGGTTCACATAGTGGAAGGAGACCCCCTGGCAGTAGAATTTGGACTCGTGCGAGCACAGCGCCTGACACTGCAATACGAAAGGGTCATCAATCAATCATTCACTTGCCATCCCAATCGATTACAATCATAATGCGCGACAGCCGAACCACGACGAGCCGGGGCCAGCCCGGGACAGAGACAGAGACAGAGACACACCTCTTTCTGGGTTAGGCCCAAATATTTGGCTTCCGCGTAGATGAAACTGCTGTTGGCATAGAGCTCGTACGAGCAGTTGTCGCTCTCTATGGCCCGCTCGTGGCACTGGTTCTCCATGTACTCCTCATCGTAGGGTGCCGCCCTGAAGGCATCTGGCTGGATGGTCTTGTCCCTGTCGCTCAGCATGCACCGCCCCAGGCGTGGCGAGGGACTGGGACCCACATCGTTGCGAAACCTGTGGCGGATATTGGAATATTGTCAAACGGTTTCAGCTACTATTCGTTTAGGCTAGAACCCCCCGAATCGTATCTCTGGGTGATTTATGACTTCGCTTTGGGGGGCCACAGCCAGCGATGATGTCATAATCCGGTGAAAAGCCTCTGGCATGCATTAAAAATGCATAACAAAGGCAATTAATTTCACCAGAATCGCCGACAATTACCGCTCACGATTGTTCCGATACGAGGGGGCGAACGAGGCCGAGAGGCATTTGAATTGGGTTTCGAAGAAACATCTCTCGGCGCACTCACGACGCGTGACCAGCCGCGAAATGGTCTTCTTGCTCTGAAAAACCAGCGTGCTACCGGGAATTTTGGTCAGCGCCCACAGACGACCTTTGCACGCATCGGGAACTGCAAAAAATTAGAAGTTAGCCAAGGTCGGTAACGCCCTCGTGTCCGGCTGTAGATGGCTTACCCCTCAGGCAGGTCTTTTCGTAGAACACGGCCTCGGCATCGGCCACCAGCGGCAGTTCCCCTGATATGGCCAGATAGCGGGAGGTGCGCTCAAAGTAGGAATACCCATAGCACTCGTCCGTGTCCAACAGATGCACATAGGCAATGCAGTCGGGATCCTCGTCGCAGATGCGCCAGCACATCTGACTAGCCGGCGGCTCCTGGTCTCCATTCTGATTCCCGCTACGGCGATCCCAATCCTGATCCGCACTGCGGCGATCCCAATCCACACCTCCGCTGCGTCTATCCCGATCTTTGAACTTGCTGCCCGGAGGCGGTGCATAGATCAAATTTCCCTCGCTTAGATGATCGAGCGGCGGTCGGAATCCCACAATCTTCTGGAGCTGCATCTGATGCAGCGGACATTTGAGTAGCAGGGCAGCTGTGGGGGAAGCGAAACGGTAAGAATTTGATGCCCGATAAGGCGCTAGATCTGTGGAATGTATATCCGAGGTACATATTTTAGAGGTACTACGAGTACGTAGTACGAGTATGCCTGAGATGAGGGCCACGCATGACTGGGAATCAAAACATTTTTCAAATTGCTGAGCATTCATAATGTCTGCGTTTGTTGCATATCAATTACTACTTAGCTGAGGGGATGTCTACAGTTGGTACTATATAAAAATATATACCCTATACTGTACCTTTATTACTGTGCATCAATTAATGTGGAATCTTTATGCATAACTGAGCAATGAGAAAATCAATCATGTACGAGTATCTAGAGGCTAAAGCTAATACATTCTATTAAACTGAACTCATTATAGTTTCCCCTATAAAACTGGATAATAAATTGATGGTTGGGTTTATAGATTCATTCTAATATTATAATGATTGAACCACAGGAAAATATGGGACTTTTACAAGTTGCATGGAGATGTAGGTTCGAAAAAGGGGGGTAGTGGTCAGAGAAATAGTGAAACATATATTTATAGATAGAACTGCTCCTCCACATTATTCTCACCTAATCCAAAAATGGACAATTAATCAGCCTGATGCTTGTTTATAACTAAAAAAAAGAGACTGAATTAGTTTTTTATTTCCTTAATTGATAATTACCGAGTTTTTTCTTGTGACACTATGCCTATGACCATGTTTGTCATAGAACCACAGAGATCTGATAATTTGTACTGAAGCCTTGATCTATTTAAGGCATACCTCTCAATGATGTTGTAGTTTCAACAGATTTATCTAGTACCTCAAACCAAGGTATTTCCTAGCCATTACTCAAATTATTGCAAGCTTGTTCTCAGAATTTCTATGTAATATATAAATAAATCTAATAACAGCTGACATGCACATCTCTCATACTCTGTCTGGCACTCGCTTGTAAATTGATCTGTGTAGCTTAGGTTTTGGTTTTCCACTTGGCCATTGAATGCAAATTGCAAGTGCAAAACTGATTGGATCGATGCATCTTCACCGCTCTCTCGCTCGCTCGTTCTCTGGGATTACATCAGTTCTAAAACTTTTGTGAAAATTCCAAATGAAGTGCGTCAAAGCTGCCAATTAGCGGCGCCCGGCCCCCGAGAGAAGGAGGAGGAGGAGTCTGTGTCCGAAATATTCGTGTAACTTACCGCTGGAATGTGGATGCAGCATTAGGAATATCATGGCTATGGCTATTTTGCATAGCCACGGGGCCGTTGAAGCTGATTGAGGCATTGTTTTTGGTGGCTTTGTTGTTAGAGTCGCTGCAGCATGTTCGTGTAATAAATAGTAATTGATTTTAGGCCAGAATTCATATATACACATGCACAGGAACACAGATGCACAGATCCACTGATACACAGATACAGAGATACAGAGATACACTTTTTGGTTTAGTTTGCCTTTGGATGTTTGCGGGCTATGTTTGGCACAGTTTAGCACGTGTTTGCCGCCCAATCGCCTGCGGATTAAACCCTTTATGTATTTACATATGCAAACAGGCCAGGAGCCCTATCCACCCTTTCAGAGTCCGAATCCGTGTCCTGTTAAGCCAACCCATGAATTATAGATTTGCCCAATTTGCAGATGTGGGCCACGCGGGCATCGATGCGCTAATTATTCGCAAACACTTTCACATATTCCCGTTCATTGTATTGTTTATTTTTTGCAGTTTTTCCGAATATTGTTTGGCTTTGACTCTGGCCTTTTCCATTAGCCAAATGAACTTTGCATGCGGTTTGGTGTTCGATTTTGTTATTATAACTTTTGTGAGTATTTTATTAGTTATACGTATTTGCTTGTTTGTAGTTTTTGTAGCTGCACGTCTGACTCGCGCGGCTCTCGACTTGCAAATAGCTCTGGCACTGATCTGGGGGTCTGAGTCGAGCGATCCCTCAGAGCGCCAGGTGAAGTCAGAGATACAGCCGAACACACACACTCACAGAGAGAGAGAGAGAGATAGC